TCCCTCCCTCCCTCCCTCCCTCCCTCCCTCCCTCCCTCCCTCCCTCCCTTCTTTCTGTCTTCCTTAGACAATGTCTTATGCCAAAGATTAACTTGAGTTTCTGATCCTCCTGCCTCTAAATCCCAAATGCTGGGACTAAAGGTGTTTGTCACAATGCCAACTGAACTATCTCCCTGGCCCACTGTCCTCTTGTTTTATAAAATACACAAATGGGGCACATTCTCTAGGCTCAGATTTGACCTGTTTGTTTACAGTTTACCCATTTGTTTATTGCACCTATCACTTCTTGTCTCCTAGGCGAGCATTCCCACCATTGATCTAGACCCAGACCCTTGACCTGGTAGATTAAATTCTCACAAAATAAACGGGAATGTGTTAAAGTTGAGTCTGATGTAGTATATAAGCCAAAGAAACTAACAGTAAATTCTCTTTAAGCATGTCCTGGGAGTACTCTATGTTGCAGATCACTATGTAATCGGGGCTAGAGAATTTATATCACTTTTACTTGAGACAGGTAGTTTAGAGACAAGTTTTTTGTAGTTTTTAAAAATTTGTGTACAAAAGCTCAGGTTTCTTTAGGATATTTTCATGTGTTTTTTTTCCTCTTCCCTTCCCCCACTCCACTGTTGACTTTCTTCCTCCAAGGTAGTGTCCTTTGCGCTTTAATGTTGTATATCTGCAGGTGTTTAAATGCCATTTCTAGATTGTTCATGAAAGCAAACCTCAAGTATTTCCAGTGTTCCTTTCCCTTGACTTTTCTTTCATATCCTCTTCACTTGCTCCTCTATAGTCCCTGTCTGCGTTCATGAAGTTTGAGAGATTCTTAATGGATCAGCATTAAAATTAGATGTCTTCATTTTCAGTAGTACTTAGGTTTTTTGTTTACCATTGGTTCTTATTGTTTAAAAGAGACAAAAACACAACAGCATTTTATGTCGACCTTTTAAGGTATGGGCTTTTAAAAAATACCCTGGGTTTGATGTGACTTGGCTTGGCTTTCTTTGAAGCTCTTTTTTTCTTTCCTGTACAAAGGTGTGCTGTGCTTTGGGACTAGAAGTGAATACCTCCAGGGTGTGCTTTACACTTGAGCCTTGTAAGGGAGGAGAAAAAGTTTATTACTATTACTAGGAAGTACATTGTTTACATTTACAGTTTTCTACCTGTATTACTTTTGGGTATTGGTTAGATCCATCGATACTGGCCTAGATTTTAGAAGTGTGTTTTTATTTTGTTAAAGCTTAACAAAAACATCTAAGGACTTTCTCTAGTACATGATTTGAGTATGCTTATAGGGTACAATAACTTCTTAGTGTGGAAAATACCCCAACAGTCTTGTTTTCCTCCATTTTGGATCCTGAGGTATTTAAGATTATTTTCTTTGTGCTTCCAGTGACTTGTTTAATATGGTGAATATGACCAAAAATTTATAGCTAGGAACTAAATGAACCATCACTTGTTACAGGATCATGTTTTATTTTTATAAATACAATATAATTTCATGAACTTTTGTCTCCCCCTTGATATCTTTCTCTTTCCCTCCATTAAAGACCAAAGAGAGTCTACAGTATGCATTGGAAACTCTTACAATGAATGGCTGCTCAGTGGAAGATCTGGGATTGGATTTTACACTGCCAGGGTTTCCCAACATTGAACTGAAGAAAGGAGGAAAGGATATACCAGTCACTATTCATAATTTGGAGGAATACCTAAGAGTATGTATTATCTTTTTTCTCTGGGTCATGGGCTATACGAGTTTGCTGTCTTCCTATGAGAAGAGAGTTAGGTTTGGTGGAACTTGGTCCCTTAGCTTCTGCCTGTGTGGACCTTGGACGCCGTTGGGAGCACTCTAGGGGACCTTTGTAAGCTTCTGTGTGCTTTGTTTAGAACACACAAAGATTTTATGCTAAAACAAAACAAAACAAAAAAAAAAAACGCTAAAAAATTACCTTTCTCTACACTTTGAAAATACATACACAAGTCTAAACATATATGAGACTGTGGGTAGACAGATGGACTTTCCCATAACCTTCCTCCAAAACCTGCACCTTGAGTGGGTCAAACACAGCCATTTTTAGGAGGACCTTCAACATTTTGAATTGTCTCTGCTGCTTACCTCAGGGGTGACTTGGAGAACACCTTACATTTTATTCTTTGCTTCACAGTAGATTTCCTTAGCTGCTATTCACCTATCAGAGACTCAGCATTGTCCCTTAGATTGGGAGGAGCTCTAGGGCTGAACAATTGCATTTTGTATCACTTCACTCTGTGCAGGAAACATGTTTGTGTCAAAGTCTTAACAGTTCTTTTTCCACACCTCATGTAAACCTTACATTGACCCATCTTTAAGCTTGATCAAATGCAGTGCATTACACCACATTTTTCTCTTTTAAGAAAAGATACCAGTGAAAAAGAGCCATCACTTGTTTGAACTGCATTTCTGCCTTTGAACTGCATTTCTCCCAGCTGGCTTGGGAGATTGCTTTTAAAACACCAATATAGGTACATACACCTATAGAAATACCCCAAAGTATATTTACAGTTCTAGACATTACTTTTGCTAGATGTAGGAGAAAGTATTTCCTGTTGCACTCAGAAAGTAAATTACATGCTACGTCTTTTCATTTACCAGTGTATAAAAGTAATAAATATTGCTTGTATTTATCCCTGACAGGGCTGAAAGAACATTGGATTCAAGCTAGAATACTCATTTTGAAACCTTAACTTATTAACTTGTATGGGACTTGCAGCTCTAGTTTCTTTATTGTCTTTAAAAAGATAATATTTAAAGATCCTTAGCATCCCAGAAGTTCTGTGACTCATAAGAAATTCCTTTTAGTAACTTAATCAAGCTTCTATTTTTTGTACTGTATTTGGGAAAGCTGCTTTTCCAGCTTACTAATAAATAATGTATTCGCATTCTTTTCTAAAAAAAAAAAAAGCTTTATAATTGCTAATGGTTTCATCTTATCCGAATATTCTCTATACCAATAAATTAACCAGGGCCGCTGGTGGCTGAGTGAATTTAGAGCTGCTTTGTCTTATCCTTAACTTTTTTCCTGCATGTTTGAGCTCTGTTTCTAAGAGGAAGCATACTGCAGAGAATGGTTGTCAGGACTGTACAGGATTTAGAAGTCAACATTCCACATTAAAAATGTGCACAGTTGCTAATAAATATCTTGAAATGCTAATCTTTCGTTTCATTAACATTTCAACTTTTTGGTACATTGCCTTTGGCTTCTGGTAAGGCAATGTGAGATTCTCTTCTGGAGGGAGGGTTTTCTATGAACTTTTAAAACCCAACGTAAACATGCGTGTGGCAGTTTTAACATTGTCTTACTGACCAATCCCCAACTTAGAAGTTTACCTGATTGGCTTATTTTATTAATTACACTTTATTCACTTTGTATCCCCCCATAAGCCCCTCCTTCCTCTCCTCCTGGTCCCACCCTCCCTCCCCCTTCTTCATGCATGCCCCTCCCCAAGTCCACTGATAGGGGAGGTCCTCCTCTCCTTCCTTCTGATCTTAGTCTATCAGATCTCATCAGGAGTGGCTGCATTGTCATCTTCTGTGGCCTGGTAAGGCTACTCCCCCCTGACTGGCTTTTTGTTGTGTAGTTTTTTAATGAGAAAGTCTGGAAATTTAATAACTTTTCTTCTTTTTTTTTCTCTCTTTGTTTTTGTTTGTTTAGTTTTTTTTTGTTGTTGTTGTTTTGTTTTGTTTTGTTTTGTTTTTCAAGACAGGGTTTTTATGTAGCTCTGGCTGTTCTGGAACTCACATTGTAGACTAGGCTGGCCTCAGACTCACAGAGGTCCCCGTGCCTCTGCCTGCTGAGTGTTGGGATTCAAGGTCTGCACCACCATTAACATTTCAATTTTAGTTTTAAGAGTGATTCTAAAAGGTCATTTTAGAATGACTAGACCTTCTCACATATTAAGTAAAAAATAGATTTAGGATCTTGTTGGAGTTTCTAAAATGAATTCTTTTTGCAGTTGGTGATATTCTGGGCACTAAATGAAGGTGTTTGTCGGCAGTTTGACTCATTCAGAGATGGATTTGAATCGGTCTTCCCACTCAGCCATCTTCAGTACTTCTACCCAGAAGAGGTGAACAGGGCATCTAAACGACAAGGGGGTGGTGTATGTTAGAGGTTGAGGAAGGCTAAGAAAATTTCTGATCAAGAAAGTTTGTTAAATAAGAGAGTTTTTCTAGAGAGGGGAGGTAGGATTTTTGTGTGAAAGTATAGCAGCAGCATTCTAGCCCAGACTGCTGTGCTGCTCAGTGTAAAGGGGGCTTGGTAGAATTGTATTCTGGAAGCCATGCTCTTAGACAGCTACTGTCACCCAAGCATGCAGATATTTCTTACTAATTCTTTACCCTTATTGCAAAGCTGGATCAACTCCTGTGTGGCAGTAAAGCAGACACTTGGGATGCAAAGACACTGATGGAGTGCTGTAGGCCTGATCATGGCTATACTCACGATAGGTAAGTGTGGCACTGCAGTTCTTCAGTTAATAATTAGGGATTTAAAGGAGAAGGACCAACCAACCAAAGTTTATGGGAATTATTTCTCTAAAATTGTGTAGTTAAATTTGTTCCATTTGGATTTCAGTTATAACAAAATAGCTTTTAAAGTGTGTTATAATGAGCATTTGTTCATATGTAATCATCTGAAAATTGATGTCATTATCAATGATTATGCGCTTTGGTATATTGACAATTGCTTTTAAACACAAAATAATTTTCTTCTACTTTCTTGTTTTAGTCGGGCTGTGAAGTTCTTGTTTGAGATTCTCAGTAGTTTTGATAATGAGCAGCAGAGGTTGTTTCTCCAGTTTGTAACTGGTAGCCCACGATTGCCAGTTGGAGGTGGGTAGTATTTATGCTTAGCCTTTATTCTGTGAGTGAAACATCACTTGTCTTTGGAGACAGTCCATTACTTGGGATGCAGTCTCTTTTAGTTATTCTACCATTATGTTTCTGAGATGCCACTATATCTGCTTAGGAGTATGTGAAGAAATAATACTGGCAGGGAAATTCAGAGGTTGCCTTAAGCATATAAAGTTGCTAACGGACAGGAATGTTACTTAGAAATTTGCATATTTTAAATTAGAAAAGAATAAAATCTCAAAATAAATTGAGTCTGCTTTTTTGGGGTTTTTTTTGTTTGTTTCTGTTTTTGTTTAATTTTTCTTTTGTGTTTGGGTGTTTTGCTTCCCATGCATGTCTGAGGCCCAAAGAGGGTGTTAGATCTTCCTTGGGCTGGAGTTACAGATGGCTGTCAGCTACCACGTGGGTGTTGGGGATTGAACTCAGGTCTTCTGGAAGAGGAGCCAATGCTCTTAACCAATGAGTCACCATTTGGAGAAAGTAATATTTTGTGTGGCAGTTTAACACTACAACAAAGTGGTGTTTTATCTTACGATAGCTAATGACATTTCTAAATTTAACCAATTTTCTGGAACTTTACTTATAGGATTCCGGAGTTTAAATCCACCTTTGACAATTGTGCGGAAGACATTTGAATCAACAGAAAACCCAGATGACTTCTTACCCTCTGTAATGACATGTGTGAACTATCTTAAGTTGCCGGACTACTCGAGCATTGAGATAATGCGTGACAAACTGTTGATAGCAGCAAGAGAAGGCCAACAGTCGTTCCATCTTTCCTGATCACAACAAGAAATCAGTGTCTGCCTGTTACAGCAAAAGAAAAAAAAAAATCATGATTTCTTTTCTATGTGTCACCTGAGTCAAGGAAACATGTTCCTCCCTCTTGTTGTAGGAAAATGGCTTGCAGATTATAATTCATAATGGCCCCGTGGACTTAAAGTGATCAGGCCCTAAAGCATTGTTGTGATGAGGTTTCTTTAGCAAGTTCTTGTTTAAATTATCATTTATTTGATGAGTGAAGTTTTTAACTTGCTTTGCTGTGTGAAATTACAAAGGGTTGTTTTTTTCAGGCTGGAACAATAAATGTCGCTGTGCAGTTTAATTCTGGGCTGTGTGTATCCATCTAGCTTAAGTCTGCAGTTTGTTTCTTCCAAAGATAATTATTGTACATAAGTACAGACATTAAACTCATGTGTATTTGACAACTCTAGTTTAGTATATCGGTTCTGTGTGCTTCCCACCTCTCTCTTGCTTTCTTTTCCCAATTCATTGCTGCCTGTGCAGTTCATACAGGTTTGGTGTTTTTTTGTTGTTGTTGTTTTTGTTTGTTTGCTTTTAAATATAAAACGCACGGTTAAGATATTTTCATTAGCCCTGGGTCTTGTCATCCTTTGCTCTTTCACATTAAGATACAATTTAAAATTCATTGAATTGAGATATATTCTCACTATAATTCAGCCTTTGTAACTAGGTAGGTAGGCTTTTCAGAGAGCTTAGTTTTAAAATAGTTACAGAGAGCACTCCTGGCTTTTTGCCAAGTAACACACTAGGTCCGTTTACATGGTGTTTTCCAATGTCCTCTGGAAAGGAGGAAGGAAAGCTCATTCATTTTTCTGTGTAGGTTAAAAGGTCCACAGCTTGTGTTGGCCAATATTTATTCTATGGCCTGACCATTTTAAATTGGTGTAAAGTTTTAAATGAATTAGTTTTCATTCCATATTGAAGTTAAAAAGAGGTCCCCCCTCCCCCATAAGTTTCTCTTCTCAGGCTTTATTTCACTCTTGTCTTCTGCCAGCATTAATTTTGGACAAACCATTCAGTCTTTGTCTCCACACAGATCAAAGCACCTGTAAGCAATGCTGTCTATTTGTCTGTGTGCTCGTTTCTCAGATCTGCAATAACCCATCAAGTTAATGTTTTTACCTAAAAATAAAATACGTTTGTTTCACCATTTTGGTTTATAGTTCTGTGCTGTTACACATGCCCACTTGTCTAAGATAAGTGCTACTACATTACAGTGCAAGTAAGTTGTCCTGTGGCCACAAGTCAAGCCGTATGGGGCTTGCTTGTTTACAGCTTCCTGAAGAGCCTGTAAGGCTGAAATGAAGACTTGTAATAAACTCTGGTTTCATCTCCTTCAAAGTGAGATGCACCATTTTTTTTTTTTTTTTTTTTTTTAACTGAACTTTGAAGAAACTATACTGACTCTTATCTGGACATAGAGCCTTCTTTATCTCATCGCCCAAAGGAAGGTAGTGGCTTGTCATTCTACACTGACCTTGCCTTATGTGGAAACATCCCCTGCTGACAGAAATCTGACAGTTTGCCCAGTCAGTGGGGAGGAATTGGGGCCAGGAGGTCTCTGCTCACAGAGGCTTGTAAATGAGCAATGTTACCTGGAGGGAGGTGGTTTCTGCACCTTTGCCCTGATGGCCACAAGATCTATGCCCCTTTATCTCCAGTTGTGGTGTTTTGCAACTGAGCACAAAAATTTTTGTGTGAATTTTTGTTCCTCACTTTTTAAAGATCTGTTAAAATGTAGACATCTGTATAAAACAAAGTGATGTTTCATATTAAAATAATCTGTATTGCATTTTATACTTGTGGTGCTGGCAGATTGGCTTCATTAATTGCTTGCATCTATTGAATGGTTATGATGGTTCTGACTGGAATATTTTAGAGACCACAGACATTAAAAGGCTTTTGGTCATCAATGTTTGTTCAACACATGGGTTAATTTGGGTTAGGAAGAGCACATTTTAAAGCACTCTCAGTGAAGACTTTAATTTTGCACACTAGGGGAATATACAGTTGATTTGCTGTGCTCCAGTCATTTCTCAAGTTGCCTGATTCAGAGATCCACCACCAAGTATTGTTGGCATGCTTTTAATGTACACACGCACTCCATATGTTGTCAGTTAAGATGTTAACAGAACCTCTTTCCTTGTCCCAGAAGAGGAGACTACAAATTAGGTCTAGGTGGCACTAGATGGCCGTGGCCAGGCCCGCAAAAGCATTTCATGAAGCTACCAACATTGGGAAAGCAATGAGGAATTTTGCTGAGTCTGGCTGTTGTAAAGTTAGGCACACCTCATGAGAAAGGAGTGTTGCAGCCAAGACAGATGACCTCCGGTTCAAGAGTGACTTCCTCAAGAGTGACTTCCTTGGGCATCTTAAACATGAAGGCTAAGGACCAGAGCACCAGCTTCTGCATCTCATAGGCAAATTGTCCCCATCCCTTTCAGGGATCGTCCTGTCTCCACTCCCCTCAGCATTGTGCAGCCATATCTAGGTTTGTCGTTTTTTTTGATGTGGGTGGTGGTGACCCAATAGGTCTTTAATGCCTGTGGCTCGAGCATTCAACCCTGCTGAGCCATCTTCCTAGCCATCACCAGCTTTGGGTGGTCTCTCAAGTTCATCTTTTGAGATTCCTTTTTCACTTCTTAACAAGTACAAGTTCAGGAAATGGGAAAGGTCACCATTATTCCAAGAAACAAGTGTAAAGAATGACTTGTTGGGAGGAAATACATAAAAGTGCATTAATATGTTAGTCTTTCAGGATTCTGGGTATTGTACTAACAGAAATGGCCTCCGTTTCTTTTAAGCTTTGGTTTTCTGACCCATTTTGTTTTCCCTGTTGTAATGATAATGTGTTGAACTGTCATGCTCTGTATGATTGTTTGAGAAGTGTTACATAGCTGTTAGGATTGACACTGCAGTAGCTGACATCCACAGTAAAGAGTAACCTAATGACAGGCCTCTGGAAAGTCTCTGTTACCCAAACAAGTGATAACCCAGGCAACTCCTAGCATTTCACTGGGTTGAAAATTGGCGTATGCCAAGAAGTTGAAATGAACAATTATTAATGCAAGAAGAAATTTCTTAACGTTTACAGATTTGTTCTGTATCAAGGAGACATTCTTCAATAATGGAAGAGGCAGTTTTATTTTTACTACAAGCGGACTCGTGACCAAACTGATAAGCAACTGCTGATCTCTGTAAAGTGTTTTCTTTCTCTTTTGGTCTGAAGCATTTATACGAACTGCTGGAATAATGGAACTTCAGACTACAAATGTGTATGTAAAATTGCATCGATGCCCTGACTTCCTGACTATATTTTTAATAAACAGCATTATCCTTCGTGGTTAGCTTTTGTTACATTATGTACAACCAGAGGGTGTTTGCTTAGGTGGTGCGTGGACGGCTTTTTGAAAAGCTGCTTCTGATAAGTAGTGATGATCTTAACAATTTTGGGGGCAGGTTGCCTAAGACACTAGGAGACTACTTAACTTGGTGGAGCAAGGTATTCACTGCTAAAGGGACTCCTGTGCACTGATGAAGCCTTTGTGTCTTTGGAGCTGTTGGAAGACACTCAAAAGATGTGCAGAGACTGTGTTATGAGTCTTCTGATGGGAAATATCTGTCCTCATGACAATGTGTGTCAGTCTACTTCTGAAACAACAGAAAGTGATTTGGGCTAGCAAAACAGGAGGTGGGCAGAGGGAGAAGCACTTTTTCCTATATAAAGCTGATCCAGTTGAGAGGTGCTGCTAAATAAGAGTTTGCAAGCTCTCTTGGGGGCTGGGGAGCACAGAGCCTTGGAGTTGTAGTAGTACTGGGAATTGGTATCAGCATGTTAATGGACTTTGTTTCAGTTTTGAAATTTAGTTCTCTCTGTATATAGGTTTGTACTAATGAGTTGTAGGTGCTCATAGAGGCTATAGGTGTCAGATTTTCTTGGAACTGGAGTTAATAGGTAGTTGTGAGGCGCATGATGTGAATGTTAGAAACCAAATTTGGATCCTCTGCAAGAGCAGTTTGTGTTCTTAAATCTCTCCAGCACTGGCCTTTTCATTGTTGGGCCTATATTCAATAGCCCAATATCCCCTTTGAAGTCACTGTGTAGAAGGGTGCAGGGTGTGGTATGGGCAGCTGTGCAGTTCTCATGGCCCTCTTTCTTTATGGAAGCTCATGCTGTTCCTTGAGCTAGTCTTGGCCAGGTTATATAACTTGAGGGTTTCTGTTCCCTGTTTTACTTCTCCCAATTTATGTAAAGCTGGGAGGTCAGTGCTGACTGAATAATGCTTGCTTTCCCCTGTGGGATTCTGCAAGTTTGATCCTCAAAGTTTGTGCATGGTACTAAAGCTAATAGATGAGGTCAAATTAAAGGGACTAATTATGTCATACTTGTTCTGAAGGCTCTTTTGGGGAGCCTTCAGCCCTTTCTAGCTGTTCTTTGCCTAGACTGTTTGTCACTACAGTCTTCCTGGCCATAGTGCTTCCTCCCCTTAAGCATTTACTTTTCTCAATGTTTTGAAAAAAATTCCTGACCAAAGCAACTTAGGAAGAAAAGGATTTATTTTGGTTCATGTTTTCAGAAGAGCTATAGCCCACCACAGTGGGGTAGTAAGGTAGTAGGGGCATGTCCCATTGCATCCACAGGAAGAAGAGAGATGCTGCTGGTGCCCAGTTCACATTCTTTTCATCCTGTCGAGCTCATGGAATAGAAATGTCCACAGGAAAGGTGGGTCTTCCTCCCTCAGTAAAACCTTTCTGGAAGCACCCTTAGGCGTCCATGGTGATCTCAGACCTCTTCGAGTTGATAAAGTTAATCTCAGCTTCTGTGTGCTATATTCACAGGGACAGGTGTGATTTAAGGTGTGATTTCATATAATTGGTATGAAGTCAGCTTTGAGGTGTTAGATTTGTCATTTAGGTTAACATCTCTAGGTGGATACACCATTCTCTTGCTGTGGCGTATACAAGGTTCAAGGGGGGTGGGGCTCAGAAGTCTCCTTACGTTCTTTGACTCCTTCCACTTCTAAGGTTGCTATTTTTAAGCACCATAATGTAGTTTCTCAAGAGTTGCCCAAACTGAGTCCATATGGGTCAGAAGGTTGGGTGACAAAAATAAGGTAGAGAAGTTTAAGCAAAGTGGTATTCTGAAGCAACTGCAAGCATCAGTAGAAAAGCTTTCACGTTGGGCTGAGTACCTGAGTCAAGTGCCCAGAGGCTATGATCTCTGTATAATATTGAGAGATTAATGGTCACCCACCTCCAGCATTCCTGGGAAGATGGAGAACATAAGCTCAATTGCTTTTC